CACCCCTGTCCACCCTATCCCCCTCCATCCCCATCCACCCTATCCGCCTCCATCCCCATCCACCATGTCCCCCTCCATCTCTGTCCACCCTATCCCCCTTCATCCCTGCCTGTGGCATAGAACCACAGAGTGGATTGAGTTGGAAGGGACCTTAAAGCCCACCCAGTGCCACCCCCCTGCCCTGGGCAGGGACACCTCCCACCAGACCAGGTTGCTCCAAGCCCCCTCCAACCCTGGCCTTGAACCCCTCCAGGGATGGGGCAGCCACAGCTTCTCTGGGCAACCTGGGCCAGGCTCTCACCACCCTCACACCAAAGAATTTCTTCCTAATATCTCATCTAAATCTCCCCTCTTTCAATCAAAACCATTACCCCTTGTCCTATCACTCCCCTCCCTGATCAAGAGTCCCTCCCCATCACTCCTGGAGCCCCTTCAGGCACTGGAAGGCCGCTATAAGGTCTCCCTTCCCTTCTCCAGGCTGAACACCCCCAGCTCTCTCAGCCTGTCCTCACAGGAGAGGGGCTCCATCCTCTGATCATCTTCCTGGCCCTCCACTGGACCCCTTGCAACAGGTCCACGTCCCTCCTTTTTATCTTGAGGACTCCAGAGCTGGACACAGGACGCTGGGTTGGGGATGGAGCATCCCCCACCACCACTTCCATCCCGATCCTCCCTGTCCCCCGCCACCCCTGCCTGCGGTGTCGACCCTCCATCCTCTCCAGGGATGTCCCTGCCCACCGTTTCCCCTTCATCCCCGTCCCTGAATGTCCCCACGCCCGTCCCCTTCCCCGGGCGGGAGGGGAAACTGAGTCACGGCCGGTGGGGGACGCGGGTCCTCCGGGCCGCCAGGGGGCGCTGTGTGTATGTCCCCGCCCCCTCCCCTCCGCGCCCCTCCCTCCCCGCCGGCCGGAAGTGCGTCAGGGCGGCGGGCGGCGGGGCGGGCGTTGCCATGGAGGAGCTGAGCGCGGCCTTGGCGCTCGGTGTCTCCCTGGCGGCTCCCAACAGCCCGGCGGCCCCGCACCCCCGCCTGGCCGCCTACAAGCCCCGCGGAGCATCGGGACAGGCCGAGCGCCGCCAGCGCCTCCTCCGCCTTCAGAGAGAGTGAGTGAGTGAGTGAGTGAGGCGCCTTGGGGATGCGGCCCCCGGGAAGGGCAGGCCCGGCCCCCGGGCGGGGAGGCCTGGGGTGTCGAGACAGGGCCCGGGGTGTGGGGAGGGGAACACTGGAAGCCTGCCTCCGGTTCTGGGCTCCTCAGTTCAAGAGAGACGGGGAACTGCTGGAGAGAGTCCAGCGTAGGGCAACGGAGAGGATGGAGGGGTTGGAGCATCTCCCTGCTGAGGAAAGGCTGAGAGAGCTGGGGCTCTGGAGCCTGGAGAAGAGAAGGGTGAGGGGAGACCTTATCAATGCTTCCAAGGATCTAAAGGGTGGGTTGAAGGAGGATGGAGCCGGACTCTTCCCAGTGGTTCCCAGTGACAGGACGAGGGGCAACGGGCACAAGCTGGACCATGGGAAGTTCCACTCCAATGTGAGGAAGAACTTGTTTGGGGTGAGGGTGGCAGAGCCCTGGCAGAGGCTGCCCAGGGAGGGTGTGGAGTCCCCTTCTCTGGAGATCTTCAAGCCCCACCTGGATGTCATTCTGAGTGATGTGCTCTGGGCAGCCCTGCTTTGGCAGGGGAGTTGGGCTGGATGATCTCTAGAAGGTCCCTTCCAACTCCAACAATCCCATGAGTCCGGGGGCATCCTGCCCTGCTTCCTGCAGAAAATAACCCAGGCTCTTTTTTTACTATGAGGGTGGTGAGACACTGGAACAGGTTGCCCAGAGAAGCTGTGGCTGCCCCATCCCTGGAGGGGTTCAAGGCCAGGCTGGATGGGGCCTTGAGCAACCTGCTCTAGTGGGAGGTGTCCCTGCCCATGGCAGGGGGTTGGAACTAGATGATCTTTGAGGTCCCTTCCAACCCAAACCATTCTATGATTCTCTTTCCTCTCCCCTTCCTAGGAGGCGGCTGGACTACGTGAACCATGCCAGGAGGCTGGCAGAGGATGACTGGGCAGGGGTGGAGAGTGAGGGCGAAGAGGAGGAGGAGAAAAATGAAGAGGAAGAGGAGATGGACGTGGATGCTGGCAAAAAACTGCCCAAGCGCTACGCCAACCAGGTGAGGAGCTGCCTGCCTCCTCGTGACGGGGTGCGGGTGTGAACGCGGGGCAGCATGAGGGATGAGGGGTGGTTGGGGCTGGGCTGGGTATGGTGAGCAGCCACCATGTTGGATGCCTCGGGGCTGAGAATGACATGGCTTGGAGGTGGGTTGCCTGTGTGGAAACCCAACCACATCCTGGGCTGCATCAAAAGCAGCGTGGCCAGCAGGGTGGGGGAAGGGGGTTCTGCCCCTCTGCCCTGCTCTGGTGGGACTCCACCTGGAGTACTGTGTCCAGCTCTGGGGGCCTGAGCACAGGAGAGACATGGACCTGTTGGAGTGACTCCAAAGGAGGCCATGAAGGTGCTCTGAGGGCTGGAGCCCCTCTGCTGTGAGGACAGGCTGAGAGAGTTGGGGGGGTTCAGCCTGGAAAAGAGAAGACTCTGGGGAGACCTTATAGTGGCCTTCCAGTACTTAAAGGTCTTGCAGGAGGGATGGGGAGGGACTCTTTATCAGGGAGCAGAGTGATAGGATGAGGAGGAACAGTTTAAAACAGAAAGATGGGAGATTTAGATTAGATATTAGGAAGAAATTCTTTGCTGTGGGAGTGGTGAGACACCAGCCTGACTTGCCCAGAGAGGTGGTGGGTGCCCCATCCCTGGAAACACTCTAGGTCAGGTTGGAGGGGGCTCTGGGCAACCTGATCTGGTTAAAGGTGTCCCTGCTTATTGCAGGAGTGTTGGACTAGGTGACCTCTAAAGGTCCCTTCCAAACCAAACTATTCTCTGATTCTTTGATTTCAGCTCAGCTAGCAGCGTTTGTATCCCGTTGTGCAGCAGTTAGCTAAAGATTTCCATCTCTACCCGTGCCTGGGACACCAGGAAAGAAGGGAAACCTCAGCTGATGGATTTTATCAGCCTTGGCTGCTATATTGGTCCTAAAAGACATGCAGCCTTTCAGGTGCTCACAGCCAGACAGTCCCTGAAGAGGTTGACTTGTCTGGGCTCTTTACTCCTGATATTTAGGAATCTTTTAAGCTCTGGCGTGTATTTATAAATAAATCAATTTAAAGTGCTGGAATGAGGACCCAAGGTACAGAGGTGCCCAAGTGAGGACTGCGAGCCCTGTGCTGTAGTCTGAAGCTCAGTCAGCAGCCGGGCAGCAAGAGAGGGACTCAGGGGAGACTCTGTTGTGCAAGTTGAACCAGAAGAGAGGGAGGGAGCCCCTTTGGTGTGCTGTGACGTGGGGTGACGAGCGATGCAAGTTGCCTCTGAAGCACCCAGTGTAGCTGTAGGAGCCAACTTGAAACTTTCTTGCTTATTTTTCCATAACTTCAGGAGAGTTGTTGCAAACTGCTTTTTTTTTTTTTTTTTTTTTTTTTTTTTTTTTTTTTTTTTTTCTTTTTTTCTTTTTTTTTTTTTCTGAATTTCTCCATAGCTGATGCTGTCTGAATGGCTGGTCGATGTCCCCTTAGATCTTGAGCAGGAGTGGGTTGTCGTGGTGTGTCCCGTCGGGAAAAGGGCGCTGGTCGTGGCATCCAGGGTAAGTGGCAGCAGGGGGTGATGCCTCACCGTTTGGTAAAGGACCTGTACATGTTTCCCAACCAACGTAGGATGGGCCTGTCTGTCTTGCTTGAATTATTCCTTTTCTATCCCATTTCCTCACAGGGCACGACAGCAGCTTACACCAAGAGCGGCTTCTGCGTCAACAGGTTCCCGTCCCTGCTGCCGGGGGGGAACCGGCACAATTCCACGAGCGAGAAAGGTAATGGAGTGAGGAGGCTTTGGGGATGGAGAGGGGGGAAACTGCCCGCTTCCCCCTGTGAGTGTGTGCTCTGGCTGCTTGATGGGGTTCCTCTGGCTCCCCATGTCCTGTGCCCTTTTCCTTAGGGAAGTTACCTTCAGGCCTGTCCGTGTGTCTCTGGGTGTAACCAGCTGTGGACAATCTCCGATACTTTTATACTGGATAAGAATATATTTCTTAAACCTCAGCATCTTCTCTGTCTTCCGACAGAGTGATGTCTTTCTTAATACCACCTGCAGTTGCTTGGCTTGTCCTGAGGAGGGGTCACTGTGGAGTAAATGCCTTTTTCTGAGACATAACTTTGTCTGATGTGCCTCCCCCGGGACCTTTGTAGCCTTGGTGGACTCCAAGCTAAAGGCTTTCACTGAATTTCACTGAATTTTTAGAGTTGGAAGGGACCATAGAGATCATCTAGTCCAACTCCCCTGCTGAAGCAGGATTGCCTAGAGCATGTTACTCAGGACTGCAACTTTCACAGAATCTTCTAGGTTGGAAGGGACCTTAAAGATCATCTTGTCCAACCGTCAACCTAACTGACAAAAACAGACACCCACACAACAAACAGGGAACACCATCACTAAACCAGACCTCCCAGCACTACATCAACCCGTCTTTAGAACACCTCCAGGGATGGGGCCTCAACCACCTCCCTGGGCAGCCCATTCCAATGGCTGAGAACCCTTTCAGGGAAAAAATTTTTCCTAATATCCAGCCTGAACCTCCCCTGGTGCAACTTGAGGCCATTTCCTCTTGTCCTGTTGCCTGTGACTTGAGAAAAGAGACCGACCCCCACCTCTCTACACCCTCCTTTCAGGGAGTTGTAGAGAGCAATAAGGTCTCCCCTCAGCCTCCTCTTCTCCAGGCTGAACACCCCCAGCTCCCTCAGCCTCTCCTCATAAGACTTATTCTCCAGACCCCTCACCATCTTTGTCGCCCTTCTCTGGACCCGCTCCAGCACCTCAATGTCTCTTTTTATGGTAGGGGGCCCAAAACTGGACACAGTACTCAAGGTGAGGCCTCACCAGTGCCCAGTACAGGTGACAACTTTCCATGGTGGCAGCTCCCGTTAGCAGAAGGGGATCCTTCTGCACCTCTCGGCCTCGTGTCGGGGCAGGCTTAACGCGGGGGAGATTTCATTTGGCATTTGCCTGTTGGGTTGGGCAGTCCCTGGAGCATTCCTCGACCTCCCCTGTGTTTGTGTGTGCAGTGTACTGCATCTTGGACTGCATCTACAGCGAGGTCAAGCAGACGTACTATATCCTGGATGTGATGTGCTGGAGAGGACACCCTGTCTATGACTGCCAGGTACTGAATCTCCCCCCTCCCCTCCCTTTCGTTTCCTGGTCTGTGAGCTGCTTTGCAGCCCAGCACTGGGCACAACCCACTGTGCAGTGGGATGGATATTTCATCTAAGCACCAGCTTGTGGGCTGCTGGAATAATTTGGTACATCTTTGGGGGGAAAACAGCAGAGTTTGGGGTGAAGGTGAAGCTGAGTTTGTAAATCTGCAGAGGAACGGAGGGGCTCAGCAGGTGCTGATCAGTGATGTGTGGTGGGTAGTCAATTAAGTCTCTGCCTCCTTTCACAGACCGACTTCAGATTCTTCTGGCTTTTCTCAAAGATCCAAGAGGAGGAAGGGCTGGGAGAGAAAAGCAGGATTAATCCAGTAAGTTCTTTTGTACTGGGAAGAGAAGGAGGATGGGGGGTAAGCTAAGCTCTCCAGTTCAGCAGGCTTCAGCATTTTCTTTCACAAGCGGAAGCTTTTTTTTCTTTTTTATTTTTTTCCCCTCACAGATCAGGCTTCAAAATGTACTTCTGACGAAATGAGATGCCATGTTCAGGATGTAAATAGAACCACTGAGTATTGTAAATGAGTGGGGGTTGTTTTCTTGGGTTGTTTTTTTTTTTTCCCCCAGCCAAAGTGCTGAGGGAGATGAGACTGCAGGGTATCAGCTAACTTCCATGCCATTTTTAGCTTTCCCTTGAAACGGGATGGAAAACCAGTGTGGTTTCTGCAGGCACAGCCTGACTACAATGGGATTTATCCTTCCGTAGCCTTGTGGGCTCGTGAGGCCAGGGGAAAGGCTCGTAAAGCTTTGGCCTTCCCTCCTGCTTAAGCTAATCATTGAAGTTGTTGGGCTGGATGCCTGCTTGTCACCCGGAGTCCCTACTGAGCAAGGATAAAAAGTCTTCCTTTGAAGCCTTGATGCGTGGAGGTTAGACCTAGAACCCCCAGCAGCTTGGAAAGTGGTTTTTGGGGGCAGCCCTAAGAGATTTGGCAGCCTGGCCGAAGCGCGACGCGATTGCTGTGCGTGCCCAGACGCAGCTGAGCAGAGCAGCTCTGGTGGGTTGAGCAGATCAGTCACAAAGACCTGCTCCTCTGCCAGCAGTGAAGGTATCTGCATTTGAAGAACATCCTGTTCTGACTCCCAGAGGCAATATCCTGGAGGCAGCTACCTAAAGAAGGAGGAGGAGGAGTGGGGGGGGGAGTCGTTTCAGCTTTCATTTCCTGGGTGGAAAGATGTGCTTGGCTGAGCCAGCAGCCTGGAGCAGACGTCTGTCTGCTTTGCATCCTGCCCAGAGGTCATCATTTTCTATTTTGGTTAAAAGAGCATCTCAGGGGCAGCTCTCCTGAGAAGTCCTTCCTGCAGCCTCAGATGCTTGGAAAAAAAAAAAGGTATCAGGAGCGCGTGGGAACTGCGTGCTGAGTCTTTGCCATCCACATCTCTCATTAAATGCCAGGGAGGGGGGGTGATTTGGAACTGGGATGATAAAATAGCGGAAATAGATCTTTCTGGGCCCTCCAGATTCCATGCTGTCTGGGCAGCGTGGTGGCAATCCCCTGGGTCTTCTTTTAAAGGTCATCTGTTGCTGCAATGAGATTTTAGAAAGTTGCAGCAAGGTACATGCTTTATCCAACAGTGCTGGAGAGAGGGTGGGGATTACCTCTAAAAGACTTTTCCCTCCCCGTCCTCGCTGCTGGCGAGGGTGATTTTTTAATAGGTTTTCATGTAGCCACTTCCAGTGGGATATGATCAGCACCCACGGAGAGCTTGGTCCTGGTTTGTCTCTGGACCTGGGGTTTGCTTCTGAATCTCATCAGGTGTTTGTTTGCCCCAATAACCTGTAGCAATCACAGAGATGAGTCCCTATAGCAAGAGTTGAGGAATTGGGGATACCTGTCACGTTCTCTCTGATTTCATCAGCTAGTGGTCGTACCTAGACCGTGGAGCTAATGGCCACCTGCCTGTCCAGGAGCTGGTCTAATCCTCTTTTGGGCCTATTTCTGCTTTTGGGCCCCCAAAAGCCTGGTGGCAGGAAGATCAGGAGTTTAATGATGTGATCCCTGCTTGGGATCTCTCTGGTTACTTCGTCTCATGCCTGTCCCTCACCCTGTCTCTCTCGTGCTGGATCTTGCACTGGGGGGAAACCCTTCCTTTGTAGCTGCCTCCGCACCAGCGCTCGATTCGGTGACTTGTCCTGCTTTAGGCCGCGCTGTTGTCTCTTCTAACCCTCTCTTACTCTTTCAGTTCAAATTTGTGGGCCTGCAGAACTTCCCCTGCACCTCGGACAGCCTGTGTAAGGTGCTGGCTATGGACTTCCCCTTCGAGGTGAGAACACGCAGGCGGGGGCCTGGACCTCAGCCTTAGAGACAGCCCCGCCACGCGTCCGCTGCTGCTTGGAGAGAGGTGCATCCCCTTCCCATGGGATCTGTGCTCTCCCGAGGCCCACAGGAAACTTCCTGAGCCGCCCTCTTGCTTTCTCTGTGTGGGGCACGGACACCTTTTATGCATGTGGCTGATCTGTTCCCCTGTCACCAGGTACAGGCTGCTTCCAACCAGCTAATTAGCAAAAGTTAAATCTTAGAATTCACTCTGCTTGGGCTGCTTTTACCGTTGTTGGCTCTTGGCTGACGGAGCCCTGGGGAAGAGGGGGGTTGATGTGGGCACCCAGACTGCCTCCAGAAGCAGCCATAGCTCATGTTCATGTGGCAGCATGACCTTTTTAAGGCCAAAGCTGGCCCTGCCTACATCCCCGGGTGGGTTTGCGTGGGTACAGGCATGAGGATCTCTGCAGTGTGCTCCCTTACGTGGTGGTGGCTCTGGAGAGGTCTGCAGGGTGGGCAGAGTGGTGTTGTTCTCTGACCTCTGTCGTGGGCTCTGTGTTTCCTGAGTCTGGCTACTTCTATCTCTGTATGTGGAAGGCACCCAGCTCTCTTGGGAAGGAAAGAGGAGGGTGGTGGTAAGCTCCTGGTGGTTTCTGAAGGGGGTTCGGGTGTTAGTGATGGGTGCCTGGGATTTACTGGAGGTGGGGGCAGGTGACTGTGGCAAAAATGGCTGGGAGGGGTCGAGATGAGTCTGTCCTCCTGCTACTACTGTTGGATTTTGTGAAGGGGATAGCGCGAGCTCTGCTTTTTTTGCTTCATTTGGAACCAGCAGCTTCCAGCCTCTGGCTCCTGCTGCTCGAGGTGGCCATTCCCCCAGCAAGAGCAGCTGAACAGAACCCCTGTGTTTGCTCCATCAGCTTTAGAAGTTGGTGCTCGTTGTGCTGCTCAACCCTCTGCTGACCTGAGGGAGAAGGGCAGGACTCGGTGTGCCCCCCAGTTTGGCTCTGAGCAGAACCAGAGGCCCTCATGAAACAGCTGAGGCTGCTTTTGGTGGGGATCCTGGCTGACTTGGCACCGAAGCGGGTGGAGGAGGTGGTGGCATTCCCCCACAGCCTCAGTGACAAACATCTGGGAGCCAGAAGCTCCCTTCCTGCAGAGTGCCCAGCCTCACCCCTCCATCAGCAACAGCCTCTACAAGAGGTTGCTCCTTCCCTCTGAGCCAAAAGCCACGTCGATGTGACTGGTGCTGCTTGTGCTCTCTCAGTCCCCCTTTAATCCCCAGGCATTCCCCCACAGCCTCAGTGACAAACATCTGGGAGCCAGAAGCTCCCTTCCTGCAGAGTGCCCAGCCTCACCCCTCCATCAGCAACAGCCTCTACAAGAGGTTGCTCCTTCCCTCTGAGCCAAAAGCCACGTCGATGTGACTGGTGCTGCTTGTGCTCTCTCAGTCCCCCTTTAATCTAATCCCCGTTTAATCTAAGTGCAGGGTTAAATTTAAGGGACGCTAATTAGGCTGGGAGGGCTGACTTTGCCTCCTGCTTGTCAAAGCCTGGACAGTGACGAAAATGGGAAAGTCCCAGCCCCTCTGCTGGTCTTGCCAGACCCTGCTCTGAACGGGAAAGCTGAGGAGACATCCCGGGTTTCCTGCAGCTCCTTGCTCGGTGACGGACGCTCTGGGGGCCTCGGTAGAAACAGTCCTTCCCGTCTTTGCTGATTTCATTCCTTCCTGAGGCATCTGCTCCCAGGGGAGAAGGCTGAGGAGTATTGCCCCACCGTGGGCCTGCTAAGGAGACTGTTGCGAAACGCCGGGGGGAGGGAGATGGAGTTGATCAGACTCTCCCTTCTAATCCAGCTGGGGTTTGTACCCGGTCGATACATGGGGGTGTGGGCTCCCAACAAGTGAAACGGGGTGTAATTTGCCTCAAAGCAGCCAGTAACCCCACAGAAACAGCAGTGCTTCTTCCAGGAATGGAAGGAGCTGCGGGGCTCTTCGTGGTGTCCCACAGGAGGGAGCCCCAGAAACCCTAAATAGCTTCCACCAGCAGCACATAAAGAAAGAAACTTTGCAGAAGGCAAAATCCAGCCTCGCTACAGTGTAATAGAGGTCTCCTCACGCCTGGGTCCAGCACCTTGTGACCCTTACAAGGATCTCATGCACGTGGTGGCAACGGATGTAGCTCTTGAGAGTTAATCTGTAACCTTAGAGTTAGGGCCTGATCCGTTATATTCAGTGGCAATATTTTTTCCGCTGAATTCAGTGGACTTTGGATCAGTTGACTGGCACTGGAGTGTTTCTTGGAGGGGATCTTAAGAGCTACTGTCCTCCTCACAGATCATTTGAGTTTTCCACGAAGGCAGGGGGAGCCAAAGTCTCTGAGAAACCCCAGTGTGATGGAGCGGGTGTAACTGTTAAGCACCTGAAATCTAAAAAATATGGCCATGAAATGTGAAATTAAGCCAGTTTCTCATCAGGTTTGGTGGTTTAGGGGCAGCATTAGCCCTTATTCTGATGTGGCTGGTGACAGCACAGTGACTCAGGGTAGGGACCCAGCCAACAAATTAAATGAAGTGGAAGGAATAGGGGAATTGCAGTAACTTAAGAGAAATCAGGGGAAGGAAGAACATCACTTAACTCTCCTTTGAATTCTCCAGCATGAGGAAGATCTTTGGAGCTGGCTGAAAGGCAGAAGCCTTTCCAGGCTCTGATCTTTACCAGAACATTCCTGTGGGTGCTGGAGAATCCCCATCGCTCACAGGAACGGGTTGGATGTGCAGGCGTGGTACTGGGATCCCACAGAATCTGGCTCTTCCCAAATTTTCCTGGGAGGCTGGGGGAAGGAGAAGCTTTGTACTTTAGGTATCCAGAGGGCTGCACAACTGGTTCCAGTTTCATATTTTCCTAGCGCAGGATTCCCCCTTTTTTTCTGGGATTATTTTGCAAAATCTTAACAGGGACTAAAAATTATGGAGGAGAGTAGCAGAAGAAGCTCACCGTGCTCTGCTGGAGGTTGGCATTCATGGAGCAGAGATGGACGGATGCTGCTCTTTGCAGAACAGAATCATAGTGTGGTTTGGGTTGGAAGGGATCTCAAAGATCATCGTGTTTCACCCCCTGCCCTGGGCAGGGACACCTCCCAGCAGACCAGGTTGCTCCAAGCCCCCTTTGGGGGGCAGGGAGTGGGTGGGAAAAATCCCCTTAGCGTGGCGGGGAAGCGGGGAAAACGTCAGGCAGCTGCTGCAGTTCTTGCAGAGTGTGGAAATAGCAGCGCAAGAGCTAGAGCCTTAAACCTTCAAGGTCCTGAGTGCCCTTAACAGTCATTGATTGCTGGAGGAGGAGCTCTCTCGGGGGAGACATTAAGAATTTATTTTGCATAAGGGCAAAGCTGAAAGAAGCCGGAGCGGCGTTACCAATCCTTGGCGTCATGAGCTGGGACTAATTACTCTCCAAATGTATTATTTAAAATAACCTTAATCCAGTAAAGCGGCCTTTTCCCCCCTTATTCGGAAACCTCATGCCTAAATCTCCCCTCTTTCAGTTTAAAAAAATCACCTCAATCCGCTTGGTTTGCCCGTGCCTCAGCTCTCTACCCAGATAGGTGCTGTTCTGCCCCATATATTTGGGGGGCTGTAGGCTCTAGGAGGGGGCTGGGAGCAATTCAGCCCGGGGTGGGCTCTTCTCCTTCTTTTTTTTCTGCCCCCACACCCCTTTTTACTCCCAGACAAATGGCTTTTGAAGAGCTCTCCCCCCTTATTCGGAAACCTCATGGCTTTTCTGCAGGAGGGGATCAGAGCAACCGGAGGAAAAGCGCTGGTCGGTGTCGACCTCGGGCTGAAATTGTTTGCTTTTGGCAATTTTGAGCAGTCGCTGGAATCGTGGGGAGCTTTTCAGAACAGAAGCTCTGCAGATTCCTCCTTTCCCTTCCGCTATTTATCGCGCTGCTGGAGGGGAAAATGATCCAGCTGGTAGTTTTGGGCTGTCAGTGGAGAGCGGGGCTGCTCCCTCACCCACCTGTGATTCCTCCAGCTCTGGCCTTTTGGTCACTCTCTCTCACAGAATCACATGGGGTTGGAAGGGACCTCTGGAGATCATCTATGCAGAGTGTGGAAATAGCAGCGCAAGAGCTAGAGCCTTAAACCTTCAAGGTCCTGAGTGCCCTTAACAGTCATTGATTGCTGGAGGAGGAGCTCTCTCGGGGGAGACATTAAGAATTTATTTTGCATAAGGGCAAAGCTGAAAGAAGCCGGAGCGGCGTTACCAATCCTTGGCGTCATGAGCTGGGACTAATTACTCTCCAAATGTATTATTTAAAATAACCTTAATCCAGTAAAGCGGCCTTTTCCCCCCTTATTCGGAAACCTCATGGCTTTTCTGCAGGAGGGGATCAGAGCAACCGGAGGAAAAGCGCTGGTCGGTGTCGACCTCGGGCTGAAATTGTTTGCTTTTGGCAATTTTGAGCAGTCGCTGGAATCGTGGGGAGCTTTTCAGAACAGAAGCTCTGCAGATTCCTCCTTTCCCTTCCGCTATTTATCGCGCTGCTGGAGGGGAAAATGATCCAGCTGGTAGTTTTGGGCTGTCAGTGGAGAGCGGGGCTGCTCCCTCACCCACCTGTGATTCCTCCAGCTCTGGCCTTTTGGTCACTCTCTCTCACAGAATCACATGGGGTTGGAAGGGACCTCTGGAGATCATCTAGTCCAACCCCCTGCCAAAGCAGGGCCACCCAGAGCAGGTTGCACAGGAACGTGTCCAGGGGGGGGTTTGAATGTCTCCAGAGAAGGAGACTCCACCACCTCCCTGGGCAGCCTCTTCCAGGGCTCTGCCACCCTCACAGGAAAGAAGTTCTTCCTCATGTTGAGGTGGAACTTCTTATCTTCAAGTTTGTGCCCATTTCCTCTTGTCCTGTCCCTGGGCACCACTGAAAAAAGCCTGGCCCCATCCTCCTGACACCCACCCTTGAAGTATTTATAGGTGTTGATCAGATCCCCCTCAGCCTTCTCTTCTCCAGACCAAAAAGCCCCAAGTCCCTCAGCCTTTCCTCAGCAGAGAGATGCTCCAGGCCCCTCATCATCTCTGTAGCCTCTGCTGTCCCCTCTCCAGCAGTTCCCTGTCCTTCTGGAACTGGGGAGCCCAGAACTGGTCCCAGTGCTCCAGACGGGGCCTCCCCAGGGCAGAGCAGAGGGGCAGGATGACCCCCCTCCACCTGCTGGTCACACTCTTCCTGATGCCCCCCAGGATGCCATTGGCCTTCTTGGCCATAGAGACACATTGCTGGCTCATGGGCATCCACCAGGACTTCCAGGTCTTTATCCTCAGAGCTGCTCTCCAGCAGGTCACCCCCAACCTGTCCTGGTGCAGGGGGTTATTCCTCCCCAAGTGCAGCACCCAACAATTGCCTTTTTTGTTGTTTCTTTTTCAGGTCGATGGTCTTCTCTTCTACCACAAGCAAACCCACTACACCCCTGGCAGCACCCCTCTGGTGGGCTGGCTCCGACCTTACATGGTCCCCGAAATCCTGGGGCTCTCGGTGCCCGTCACCGCGCTCACCGCCAAACCGGACTACGCCGGGCGCCAGCTCCAGCAGATCATCCAGAGCAAGAAGAATAAAAAACTGGCAGGGGAAAAGGGGCAGCCCAACGGACATTACGAGCTGGAACACTTGTCCACCCCTCAGGCAGTGACCTCTCCTCAGGGCCAGGAGGAAGCAGGGAGCCTGATGGAGAATTAGGCTGGTGGGACGGAGCGGTTGGGTAAGGAGACAGCAGAAGGTTCTCCTGCTTCTCACCATCACTCATGCTCCCTGAGACGGGGGGGCAAAAGTAATGATAGGATGGGTTTGTTTAAAAGGCACAGAAGTGGAATTTCTTCCCCCAAGTGCCACAAGATTATTATTTTTTTATTATTATTTTTTTTATATATATATTTTTTCTTCCCCAGGGCTTCTGTGAGGCCTTGAGGATTGTCCTAAGGGGCCACCAAAAGGATCCCCCCTTCCCCAACGCCACGGGGGGTTCTGGGTTCAGCTCCTGACCCTGTTTCCTTCCACCAAAGCCTCTGGAGAAGCTCCAGCCCTTGGAGAACAAGTGCTCGGACCCCCGGAAAAAAAAAAAAAACCAACAAAAAAAACAAACCCCCCTCAAAAAAAAAACCCTTAAATTCCCTTTTCCCTGCCTCCCAGCACAGCTTTGTGTGGCGTGAGCGCGGTGGCAGCCTGTACTCGAGGCTTTTCTCAGTAGGGGGAGGAAGGAATGGTTTTCACTCTGGAAAAAAAAGACAAAACAAAACACCAAAAAAAAAAAACAACCCCCAACCCGCTAG